CAAATCCATCTCAACCTAAACATGAATTAACAGCAAGGTTTGATGTCATTACTCCAACAATATTGGACAATTTGAAACAAATCTGCAAGGTAAAGAGCTGTACAGATGGGTTCCATGTGAATTAAACGAGTGTCAGGAAAGATCATCTTGAAGTTTGCCTTTCTTTGCTGTCATTACACAAAGGTGAACCATTTCTACACTATTTTTTTTCTATACTATATTGTTATATGTTTGAAAAATAGATCCTTTTTGACAGTTGCAAGCATTTGGCACAATGGCTGGATAAAGATGAAATGCAAAACATAGTCAGAAACTCAATATTCATCAAAAAAAGCTAATGGTGTGTTTTGTGGTCCAGTGCTAGTATTATCCAGTACAGCTTAATGAAACCTAGATAACCGATTATAGCAGATATCTACTGCAACCAAATGGATGACATGAAGATGCTTGTAATCAAGGCAGAGGAAGGCCAATCCTCTTGCAAGACAATGCTGCCACGCAAACAACACTGCTCCAACTATAGAAGTTGGACATGGAGACTCTTTGTCATCCACTGTATTCACCAGACCTTGCACTGACTACCACTTCTTCCAGGTTTTGGACCAACTTCTTGGAAGGAAAAATATTCAATTCTTAACAAGTTGTGGAAAACACCTTTCAGAATTTCATCACCACTCACTCTTCAAGTTTCTTCACTGTGGGCATAAACAAGCCACCATTAAGAAGGAAAAACTGTGTTGATAGTTTAGGTACATACTTCAGTTAATTGTAATGCTTCTTGTTTGAGATATAATAAACTAAACTTTTGATTTAAAATCAGACATTTCATATTTAATGACCTAATTTAATAATTCACCAATTTTGCTTATTTCCTGCTTAAAAGCTATAGCGCCTTAACCCCAAGCAACGAATCTAAAACATGGCTAGCATTCAACATCCTCCATGGTTAGGCTCCACTGTAGTGTTCATCATTCCTCAGCATAAGTCCTCCAAACCATTTTCCTTCATTCCCATGAAGAAATATACAGTTTCCTTTGATAAAAAAAAAATCATTTCCTTTCTTATTATCTTCTATAATCCAATTCAAATTTTTTCTTGTCCAGAAAGTTTTCCCACATCAATCTCTCCCTTCTTTAATTTCCTTTGCATTCAATGTCTTGACTACACAACTTACAGTACAATAATGGTATAATACATCATGTATCACTAGTATAAAATCTGTTACCCTTACCATTATTTTTTTAGTAATAGAAATGTGCATAGTCTCCCAATTCTCTTGAAATTCCTTACAGTTTATCTCTCTAGTCTTTTATACCCACCAAAGGCCCAGGTACATAAATAGTATTTACTTATTATCCAGAACATAAATACCTTGCACCAACCACAATGTCACCATTGTCTAGGACACAGCAACACCATATAGACTGAGCTGGAAGTCGAATTGTTTGAGCACATTCTCCATGTTTCCAGATTCTCAGAGATCTGTCTTCTGCTGTTGTCACAAAATCTAAAATTAATCAACACAGGACAAGTTAGTTTGACTACAAAAAATTAAGTATATTTATACACACCATCTTTCTAGACAGATATACTGACTTTTAAGCCAAAAGTTTTAAAGTTAGTTTTAAATTGTATATATTTGTCACTTATACACAACTACAAAAATCAAATGTTTAAATTTATTTCACATCTACATCACATACCTTGTGCCAATAAGTAATACAAAGCCTGTCTTTAGATACCTAAGAACGTGACATCAGAAATAATATAAAGATGGCCATACAAGTTTCTCCATTAGGAAACAGATACTTATGCAACAAAGTCACTAAATTATTCAAGTCACAGATAGTAATGTGATTTAAGTAATTAGCTCTCCTCTATCTCAAGAAGGAGATGGGATAATGCTCAGTACAAAATTTTAAATATATAGCACAAGATAATCTTACCTCTACAATTTGGAAAGACAGATATGCTATAAATATAATTTGTATGTCCATAATATACTTCAAGACATTCGCCAGTGATTTGCCACCTTCTAATACTAGCATCATTTGCACAGGAAAGAAACTCTGTTTCACTCAAAATTGCCAAACCTCTTACACAGTCTTCATGCCCTGGATTAAAAAAAAGAATCATACATTAAAGAAAATGATCATGTGGTTGATGGCTCTATATATTTTACCAACAATATAAAATGTATCAGTGAATAGTCAAAACTGATCTTCAAGTTTTGAAGTGAAATGGAGTCTCACTCAGTCTGTCACCTTAGGTAGAATTCCCTGGCATCCTAGTTCATAGCAACCTCAAACTCAAGCAATCCTCTTGCCTCAGCCTCCCAAGTAGCTGGGACTGCTGGTGCCACCACAATGCCTAAACCTTTTTTTTTTTGAGACAAGGTCTCACTCTTGCTGAGGTTGGTCTCAAATCTCAAACTCCTGAGCTCAGGCAATTCTCTCACCTCAGCCTCCCAGAGTGCTAGAATTACAGGTGTGAATAGCCATACCCAGCCTCTTTTATTTTTTCCTGTAAAAATCCTTGTAACCAAAATTTATATTTTATTTTATCAATATTTTCTAGCACTAGTCTTGGGAAGTTATTTTATACCCAACCTATCTTCTCCAAATTGTTTCCTAAAACCTTAAAGAAATAATATTTTGACCCAAACAACTCTCCATTTTCAGTTGGCAAATTTTCAATTTTTCTTCCCCAATAACAAGAGTTAATTCATAATGTACGCAATACAAATAAAGCAAAAATATATAACAAAGAATAAATATCCTATAAATATAAGAACAAAGTAGTCTCTGTAGCTTGTGATCTAATGAAGATCAAAAGTCAAAACTTTCTCTTGCTCAATATCTGTTGATTTAGATTAGCTTTCACAGACTAATAATGACTTGATGCATGTACAGTAAATATTGAAGCAGAAATAAAGGGATGCTTAGTTATAACTCATTATCTATTTTCTTTCTTTTCTTTTTTTTTTTTAAGAGACAGAGTCTCAACTTTGTCGCCCTCAGTAGAGTGCCATGGCGTCGTCACACAGCTCACAGCAACCTCTTGGGCTTAGCTGATTCTCTTGCCTCAGTCTCCCGAGTAACTGGGACTATAGGCACCCACCACAACACCTGGCTATATTTTTTGTTGTTGCAGTTTGGCTGCAGCCGGGTTTGAACCCGCCACTCTTGGTATATGGGGCTGGCGCCCTACTCACTGAGGCACAGGAACCACCCTCATTATCCATTTTCCATCAACAGATACTCTTATCTGCACAAGGGAATTTTTTTGCATATTATCCAGGATGGCAATCAACTTCTAAGATGAAAATTAAAAAGAGGAAAAAACAACAATAAAAATTCACATAAAAGGCTCAGTGCCCATAGCACAGTGGTTACAGTGTCAGCCACATACACCAAAGCTGGAGGGTTCATACCTAGCCCGGGCCAGCTAAACAACAATACAACTGCAACAAAAAATGGCCGGGCGTTGTGGTGGCTGCGTATAGTCCCAGCTACTTGGGAGGCTGAGGCGGGAGAATCGCTTAAGCCCAAGAGTTCAAAAGTTGTTGTAAGCTGTGAAGCCAGGGCACTCTACCAAAGGCAACATAGTGAGATTCTGTCTCAAAAAAAAAAAATTTGCACAAAAGTAATCCTAGGCTGGGCACAGTGGCTCACTCTGGGAGGCTGAGGTGGGCACAATCACCTGAAGTCACAAGTTCCAGACCAGCCTGAGCTAGAGTGAGACCCCCATCTTTAAAAATAGCTGGGAGTTGTGGCAGGTGCCTGTAGTCCTAGCTACCAGGGAGGCTGAGGCAGGAGAATTGCTTGAGCCCAAGGCTGCTATGAGCTATGACACCAGGCATTCTACTGAGGGGGACAAAGTGAGACTGTCTAAGAGAAAAAAAAAATTCACACAAAAATATAAGTATCACACAAATAAATCAGTGATATTAGTATTAGCAGATCCATCAGTGTAGGTATTATGCTGACCTACTGTCAGTAGGTTTATGCTAGAAAGTTTCAGACTGTGTAAAAATGACAACCAAAACTATAACTGCATACCACAAATTACATATATGTATAATATATAGAAGCGTATACACATCTTATAGCTTATCATACAGCTCTTCATTTGTTTACACCTAGTTGTTTTATGAATGGTCTCACTGTATCTTCTAAAAACATTAAATACTGACAGGAAAATTTCATTCACCCAAGTTAAGGGGCTCAAATACTAATGTTTTTCAAATAACATTTTCAAGCTTCCAAACTTTTGAGAAAAATTTCTCTGAATAAATCACAAGCAATGATATTATAAAAGTTGTCTACCCTGATATTACCTGAAAATGTCCTCTCACATCTTCCAGCCTTCCATAGTTTAATAGTCTTATCTGCTGATCCTGTCAACATTAAGCCCTGCTCAGGTAAGATCTTTACTGCCCATACTGCAGCTGTATGACCCTATAAGTAAAATGGGTTATCAATTTAAATCGCAACAAAATTGTTAAATTGAATTATTATCTAGAACATTCACATAGTACCATACCTGCAAGGTCATCATGCATTTGTCATTTAGCCAGACTTTAGCAGTGGTGTCCCACGAGCCACTAAGTAATGTCCCAAATTTTCCTGATGAAAGACTACAAACTACAAGAAAAAAAATCATTAGTTAACACACTATCATAGAAAAAAGGCTCAATTTTGCAAGTTATTAAAGCACTGCAATTTTAGCAACACTTCATGAAGTGACAGTCTCTTAACTAATTAAGGCTTAACTCAGTGGAGTTAACATGGAAAAACATGCAGCAGTCAAGAGCAGACTCTGGGGTAGGCACAGGGGCTCATGCCTGTAATCCCAACACTCGGGGAAGCCAAGGCAGGTGGCTCATGCCTGTAATCCAGCACTCTGGGAGGCCAAGGCAGGTGGACTGCTTGAGCTCATGGGTTCGAGACCACCCTGATCGGGTAAGACCCTGTCTCTAAAATTAGCTGGGCATTGTGGCAGGTGCCTGTAGTCTCAGCTACTTGGGAGGCTGAGGCAAGAGGATAGCTTAAGCCCAGGAATGTGAGGTTGCTGGGCGCCAGGATGCTGGGGCACTACCAGGGGCATCAAAATAAGACTTTATCTAAAAAAAAAAAAAAAAACAGCGCATACTCTGGTGCCAGACTGCTGCCTGGGTACAAGGTCTAGCTGTGTCACTTACAAGCTATTTGATCACAGAGATATTCCTCGTCTATAATCAGAAAATAGACTAAGAAACTATAATAAGATAATGCAAATAATTTTAAAATGCTGCTTATAAATATTTAGGTTCACTTTCATTAAAATGACAAAAAAACTAGAGTCAAGCTCAACAGTCAATAGTAATGAAATGATTAATTATCTTATTATCTGTTAATATAAAATTATGCAGGCTAAAAATTATAAATATAAAAAATTATCTTAGGAAAGGAAGAGTATCCCACAGAGTCAAAGCAGAGCCATTAAGAAACCATGACCGGGAATGTCTTTCCCGAGACCAAACTAACACAAAAATATCTCTACTCTCAAAGTAGGATTTCCTTAAAACAGTCACTCATTTGGATTTCCAAATGGCTATAGATAAGAAACTGCTATTTTATACCATTTCCTTTCCTGAATGGTAGTGTTTGCTTTCACTATCCCATTCCTTTTCATAATTGTACTCTGTGTCTGGATAACAGGTAACTTGTGTTTTTAGCCTGCAGATCTCTGAACGTAAGAAGAACCATACCTGGACCTGATACAGAAACACCTACGCATCACACCTCCCTGATGTTTACAATACCAAGCATCATCCAGAGATTCTCAATACTGAGACTGAAGCTATAACTGAATGAGACCTTTGGATTGTTTGATAAAACCCAATAATTGGTAACTAGAAGGCACACATTATGGTAGCTCTCTTTTTTCGGACACACAGGAGGATGGTACTCTGCCTTCTCTCTATTTGAAGTCTGGTACAGCTATGATTCTACATTAGTCAGTAGAGGAAATGGTAGCTAACACTTTCAGGCAGAGTCATATAAAAGCCAGTGTATTATTAACCATGCTGCCCTTTTGGTGATACAACAACTACAACCTCAAATACAGCAAAATCCCCCATCAAAATGGGTCCCTGAGAAAATGTGATGAGGAAAGGTCCCTTACTAATTTAAGCTGAACATGTAGGACAAATGACAAATGCATTTGTATTATGAATTGAAATCTTGGAATCATTTGTTACTATACCATAACCTAGTCTATTCTGACACACATTATATGTTAATTAAAATTTTTTTACAAGTAATAAACATTTCATAGGCCTTTTGCAACATAAGCAAAAAATTAACTGTAGTTACAAAGAAAACTATGAAAATGAGGAAAAAGGGGATCATTGACTTTAGAAAAAATAATCTTTTGCTTTGATAAGAATACAACTAAAAAACTATATATACCTTAAATTAACATTCTCCTTATTAACTCCCAATTTCATCTCAGAATTTTCTTGGGGGGGGGGGGCAGGGTTTTGCTCTGTTGCCCAGAGTAGAGTGCAGTGGCATGATCATAGCTCAATGCAGGCTCAAACTCCTAGGCTCATGCTATCCTCCTGCCTTTCCACTTCTGTTTCCTGAACAGCTAAGACTACAGACCCTCACCACTGCACCTGGCTAAAGTTTTTTTAAATTTTTTTGTAGAGATGGGGGTCTCGCTATGTTGCCAAAATTAATCTCAGAACTCCATAGTCAGATAATCCTCTAGCCTCAACCTTCCAAGTTCTGTGATTACAGGGATAAGCCACCACACCCAGCTTGTTACAGAAACATTTTAAGTGACTTTCACTACTATATGCAATATAATAAGATAAAAATATAAAAATAAGCAGAAAAGAAAGCAGGATAAAAGGAAATAAGAATAGCATGTAAAATGTGTAATGTGACCCACATGGTAACCAATGAGTTGACATGAAAAGATCTATACAGAAAAATGCTAGGGATTAAATGCAGAAACAATGGTACAATTAAAGTACAATCATTTTGCAAATTTTAATGAAATACTGGATATAGGTAGCGATTATCTCAATAGACGCTAAAAATTACCAATATATAAAAGGTTGATGAGAACTTTATAATAAATGGCTGGTATACTTGAACCCACTGATCAATCTTAACATCACAAAAAGATATGTGTTTCTTAATTCTTAATGTGATATAACAGAAAGTATACCACCTAGAAAAATTCAAAACTTGACTATAAATTTTCTAAGCTTCTATGTCAAGCTAACAGCTTAAAAGGAATCCAGGTATCTGAAGAACAAGTTTAGGGAAACAACAAGGCTTTCATCAGCAAAATTCAGACTGTGGGAAATGCTATAGGTAAAATATTTTTGTTTCAAATAGTAAGAGTAAAAAAAGAAAAGGAATTCATAGTTGGAAAGACATGTGGACTTTGGGTCACAATTCAACTATAAAATAAAAAGATTTATGAGACAACTGAGTAAATTAGAGCATTCACTGGATAGTTGGTAATAAGAAATCAGTTTTTGTTCTACTTTAGGTGGAATAATATTATGGTTATTCTTTTTCAGAAAAAATCTTTTAGAGGAAGGGTCAGCAAACTGATGTTTGTGGCCACCTGTTTTTATAAACCTCACAAAGAATTGTTTGTACATTTTAAATGGTTGAGAAAAAAATCAAAAGAATATTTCTTGACATATGAAAATTACATGAAATTCAAATTTCAGCATTAACAAATAAAGTTTTATTGAAACACAGACATGCTCATTCATTTACTCATGGTCTATGGCTGCTTTTGCACTGTAATGACAGAGTACTTATGCTAGCAACCACATGGCCTGAAAGTCCTAAAATAGTCACTATGAGATCCTTTAAAAGAAAATGTTTGGGCTAGGCGCCAGTGGCTCAAGCGGCTAAGGCGCCAGCCATATACACCTAAGGTGGCAAGTTCGAATCCCCAGCCTGGCCCGCCAAACAACGATGGCTGCAACCAAAAAAATGGCCAGGGGTTGTGGCGGGCACCTGTAGTCCCAGCTACTTGGGAGGCTGAGGCAGGAGACTCACTTGAGCCCGGGAGTTGGAGGTTGCTGTGAGCTGTGATGCCATGGCACTCTACCCAGGGGGATAGCTTGAGGCTCCGTCTCAAAAAAAAAAAAAAGAACATTTTTGCCAACTCCTGTTTTAGAGATACATATTGAAATACATTAGTTACAAATGAAGTATTAGGAATTTCCTTTCAAATAATGTAGAAGGAGTGGGAGAAGATGAAACAAAATAGGCTATATATTAGATAATCCTTGAAGATTAAATACTTGAGTATAAGGGATTATTATATTATTCTATCATATATGCTTCTTTAATAACTCATTGTAAAATAATGTTTCCACTTTTGTATACATTTGAAGATTTCTATAACAAAAACTTAAAAATCTGTTACCACTCTGAAGATTTTACACACACAAACACATATACACACATGCAAACATTTTACAAATTTTCAAAGGAATTAAGTTTAAACTATTTATGGAATATGTCCCCAACTATTCCAGATATATTTAAAATGTACACATCCCACACCATTAATTAAGTCATAATGAACAGCTATTAAGCCACATACAATTCAGAATTATCACAGAATCAGGATTATATACAGATCACAGAACATCATACTGAAAAATATTAAATACTTTTCAATAATGATACTAAAGGCCTTTTGGGTCTTCAATTTGCTACATAAAAACAGATACAATAACCAAAAGATAAAGAAATACTTTTAGTTTTCACGAGTAAATGAGTTCACTATACAAAACAATTGAAAACCAAAATCACGAAGTATATTAAAATTATACAGTCTCATCCTTTTATATCTGAACACTTTACTTCATATATATATATATATATATATATTTATAAAGTATGTCAATCTTCACCGATCATTGTAACTTGTAACAGAGAATTTACAGAACTAAGATGACCCAAAAAGGTTTCCACTTTTGGGCCACAGCCACAGGTAAAACAAAGTAATAAAAACTTGGGAAAATAGATATATGAATTCTACTTTCAAAGAGATGAAACTTCTTCAAATAGAAAAACACCAAAGTGCAATAATACTCACCAGTATTTTTGTGACCTTTTAGAATATAAAGTGGCACTGGACTGTCCAGGGAAAAAATGCAAATATTGTGGTCATTTCCTCCAGTGGCAATAAGTCCATGAGGGTACATGTCACTTGAGGGTATGATGCATACACAAGATACAAAATTGGAGTGGCCACTCATACAGTGCATTTCAGTAAAGCCCCTGTTAGGACTGGAAAGATAAGATATACTTTTAACAGATACACTTTTGTACCCTGACTGAGCCTGGAACATAAAACATCAAAGCATTCATTTTTATTTAGTGTCTAGGTTGAGCTTTACACATTATTTTAAATAAAACATTAAAGAACTAATTTATATGGGCCACTAGAAAGCATTACATCTGATTAGGAAAAATTTGATTAGTGTTTCATTAATAAGGAAGGAAAGGGAGGGAAACAAATATCACAAATGGCTTTTTCTCATTTTCCATCTTCATTTCTACTGTCAAGTGATAATAACCCTAAGAAATCCCTGGTGAAATGAAACATACATGAAGTTAGGATAATAAGCCACAAACATAATGAGAACATTTTCATACTATAAAGCATTAACTTAATGCCCGTTAGTAATGAGAATATCAATCATCCTCAATATGCATAAATGGAACTGAGATATATAAATGCTTACTCTCAGGGAACACTAAATTAATAATTGCCTTGGTATTAGAATGCTTATCAATATGTTAAACACATCAATCACTTAGCATCACTCCCTTACTTAACAAGTTAAACAACATATTATGATATAAGTTAGCTGCTGAGAGGGAGTTATATCCCTCACTCAAGCTAAAACAAGGAGTTCACAATCTAGTTGAAGGAGACAAGAGAATATAAAAAGATCAGACTCCCAGATAAAGACTGCACACAGTCACCTATTTTCACTCCCTTCCAAAACCCCACTAAAACAATGAACAGTTATGCCTTTTAATAAATGTATAAATCCACAAGGCCAGAGAAAATGGGAAAAAAAAATAAAAATAAAAAAGAATAAGAACACAAATTTGACAACCAAAAGCTGACCAAAAAAGTAGGAAAAGGCTTAGCAGACCTGAGAAAAATTGAATTCTAAGCAGGTAGCAGGGCAAGTAGAGAACCAATTTGCCAATAAATTCCCTAAAGGCTCAAGAACTAGAGAGGATTCTGGGAAGATGGCTGAGTAGAAAGCACCAGGAATCTGTCCATTAGCAAAATCTGTCTGATGTCACTATTTTGGAACTCTAGAGTCGTCAAAAAGCTTGCGACTTCCAAGGGAAGGCCTGGACTGTAAACTGAGGCTAATTTTTATCAATTTCATCTCTTAGCACAGTAGTAGTTACCAGCCCCTAAGCCCAGGGCAGGCAGCCATGCACGATGCTACTGTAACAACTTGCTCTGAGTTGCAGGAGTAGGCAAAAAGGATCCTGACCTATAAATATCAGAGATCTGTTCTCTAGTGACTGATTACTGATCGCTGGCTCTGATCACAGAAGGGCAAAGAGGCAGGCAGCCATTGTTTTTTGTTTTGTTTTGTTTTTTGAGACAGAGTCTCAGTCTGTTGCCCTGGCTAGAGTGCTGTGGCATCATAGACTCAAAGCAACTTCAAATTCTTGGGTTTGACCAATCCTCTTGCTTTGGCCTCCTGAGTAGTTGGGACTATAGGCACCTGTCACAATGCCCAGCTAGTTTTTCTATTTTTATTTATTTTACTTTTTATTAAGTCATAAATACATAAATCATGTATACATTAATGCATTTATGGGGTACAATGTGCTGATTTTATATACAATTTGGAATGCTTACATCAAACCGGTTAACATAGCCTTCACCTCACTTACTTAATTATTGTGTTAAGACATTTACACTCTACACTTAATTGATTTGACATGTACCCTTGTAATATGCACCATAGGTGTGGTCCCACCGTTTACCCTCCCTCCATCCAACCTCTCCCCTCCTCTTCCATTCCATTCCTCTCCTCTTTCCTCCTTCAATCCTGGGCTATAGTTGTGTTTTATCTTTGATATGAAAGTGTGGGTGATTATATACTTTTTCTTCCATTCTTCAGAAACTTTACTAAGAAGAATATGTTCCAGCTCCATCCACATAAACATAAAAGAGGTAAAGTCTCCATCTTTCTTAAGGGTGCATAATATTCCATGGGGAATTAATCCATTCATGGGTCAATGGGCACCTAGGCTTCTTCCATGACTTGGCAATTATGAATTGGGCTGCACTAAACATTCTGGTACAAATATCTTTGTTCTAAAGTGATTTTTGGTCTTTTGGATATACATCTAGTAGAGGAATTGCAGGATTAAACAGCAGGTGTACTTTTAGTTCCCCAAGCATCCTCCAAACATCTTTCCAAAAGGAACGAATTAGCTTGCATTCACCAGTAGTGCAGAAGTGTTCTCTTTTCTCCAAATCCATGCCAGCATCTGTAGTTTGGGGATTTTGTTATGTGGGCTTCTCTTACAAGAGTTAGATGATATCTCAAAGTGGTTTTGATTTGCATTTTTCTAATGATTAAAAATGTTGAGCATTTTTTCATGTGTCTGTAGGTCATGAGCCTGTCTTCTTCAGAGAAGCTTCTGTTCAAGTCTCTTGCCCACATTAAATGGGATCACTTGTTCTTTTCTTATTAATAAGTGAGTTCTCTGTGGATTCTGGTTATTAAACCTCTGTCAGAAACATAACCTGCAAATATATTCTCCCATTCTGAGGGCTGTCTTCTTGCTTTATTTACTGTGTTTGTGGCTGTGCAGAAGCTTCTTAGTTTGATCAGATCCCAGTAATGTATATTTGGTGTTGCTTCAATTGTCCAGGGGGTCCTTCTCATAAAATATTCTCCCAGGCCAATTTCTTCAAGTGTTTCCCCTTAACTTTCTCCAAGAATCTTTATAGTTTCATGTCTCAAGTTTAAATCTTTTATCCAGTGAGAGTCAATTTTTGTTAATGGTGAAAAGTGTGGGTCCAGTTTTAGTCTTCTACAGGTTGTCAGCCAGTTCACCCAGTTCACCATTTATTAAATAGGGAATCTTTCCCCAATTTATGTTTTTGATAGGCTTATCAAATATCAAATGACAATAAGTGTCTGGGTCTCCTGGTTCTCTATTCTGTTCCATACCCCTGCCTCTCCACTTTTGTGCCAGTACCATGCTGTTTTGATCACTATAGATTTATAGTATAGTCAGGTGTGTGATTCCTCCTGATTTGTTTTTATTTCTGAGTAATGTCTTAGCTATTCGAGTTTTTTCTGATTCCACAGCCAATATCGTAATGAATGGAGTAAAATTGAAAACATTTCCACTCAAATCAGGAACCAGACAAGGTTGCCCATTGTCTCCACTGCTTTTTAACACTGTAATGAAAATCTTAGCCATCACAATCAGGCAAGAGAAGGTGATCGAGGGTATTTAACAGGGTCATATGAGATCAAACTTTCACTCTTCGACGATGATATGATTTTATACCTGGAAAACCCCAGAGACTCAACTACAAAACTCTTAGAAGTTATCAAGGAATACAGCAGCATCTCAGGACACAAAATCAATACTCACAAATCAGTAGCTTTTATATATACCAACAATAGTCAAAATGAAAAAACAGTCAAGGACTCTATTCCTTTTATAGGAATAGAGTGCCAAAGAAGATGAAATATTTGGGAATTTACCTAACAAAGGACAAGAACGATCTCTATAAAGAGAACTATGAAACTCTGAGAAAACAGATAGCTGAAGATGTTAACAAATAGAAAAACATACCATGCTCATGGCTGGGAAAAATCAACATTGTTAAATACTACCCAGAGCAATCTAGTTTTAATGCAATCCCTATTAAAACACTACTGGCATACTTTAAAGATCTGGAAAAAATAGTTTTTCTATTTTTAGTAGAGACTAGGTCTTCCTGTTACTCAGATTAATCTTTAACTCTTGAGCTCAAACTATCTACCTGCCTCGACCTCCCAGAGTGCTAGGATTATAGATGTGAGCCACTGAGCCCATCCTAAGGCAGCCACTGTTACTGCACCTACACCCATTGTTGCAAGACCCTATCTCTCCAGCTGAAGTGATTTCCAGAGAATTTAAAGGACCAATGCCCATTTCACTCTCCTCATTTTTTTCTTCTCCTCACTTTTTTCTTCCTCTTTTTGAAGCCAGACAAAACATTCAAGCAATTGTATAACCAAGGAAAATTAGAAAATGAATATGCATTCCCAGGGAAAAGCATAGGCTCCAAAAAAACCTGAGAAGACCCTAAGTATACACCTAAGGCTGGTTTCTGGCACAAAGACACCCTGCACCAACCCAAAAACCAAAAACAACAGAAAACCCTCAGAAAGGGGTGAATCTGATTTCTAGAGTTACCAATGCCCAATTCTCAACAACAACAAAATCACAAGGCATACGAATAAAGAGAAAAGTATGGCCCATTCAAAGAAAAAAAAAGTTAATAGAAACCATCCTTAGAAAATACTTGATGGAAGATCTACTAGACAAAGACATTAAAGAGGTAGAAAACCTAAAAAGAAATGAAAAAAAAATTTTAAGTACAATAACTGAAATGAAAGGATTCACTAGATGAATTCAAAGGCAGATGTAAGCTGATAGAAGGAATCAGTGACCTTGAAGAAAGGACATAGAAATTATCTAGTTTAAGGACATGAAGAAAAAGTGAAGAGAGCCTGATACACTTGTAAGGCACCAAGAAGTGGGTCAACAAATACATGTAGCAGCCTCAGAAGAGCAAGGAGACCTGGCAGCAGCCTGCAGGGAGGCCTACAGGTGGGGCCCAAAGTAAGGCTGGTATGAAACATCTGAGCGTAACCTTGGATCTGACAGCCCAGAGAAGGCCTGGAGCCAGGGAGTGATAATGATAGGGCCAGGGATGAGACGTGCCCTTGTGTGAACCCTTAACCCTATTCTGCTCCCACCTTGGGGAAGCACTGAGAAAGAACCCTAGCTACATCAAACTTTGCAAGATCCGGGCAGCCCAAAACATCTCCAAGATGATTGCTGCATCACAGAATCATACCTATCTCACTGCTGACAACCTTGTGCTGAACTTATAGAATAAAAGTTTCACCCGGGCAAGTGACAGCCTCATCAAGGGTAAAAAATGAGCAGAGAACCAAGAAGTCCACCCCCTATAGCAAGTGGATCTCTTCCCCAATTTTCGAGGAGCCAGC